TTCTTGAGGGGATTACACATAGTAGATAGCAGGGACAAACACTATGATGAAAGTAGTCAGTGATAAGCGTTGTTAAAACAAGAGCCTGATACAGTGTGGTGGGGGGACAGGGAGGGCTTCCTAATAGGAGGTAGCCATGGAGAACGAGCAGCATTTGAACTGGTAAAGCTGCAGAAGAAGAGACCAGACTAGAAAGGTAGGGACTGTGAGGTGTGTGCTCAAATGCACCTGCCAAGGACTGGCCGAGGTGGGCACAGGCACCTCTGAGCGCCTACTGTGTGCTAGGTGCAGGGCTAGGCTTTACAATCACCACTGCTTCAAGGCACAATCCTTTTATCCTAATGTTACAATGGAAGAAACCCAGACTAAGAGAAATGATCCAAGTTAGCTTGCCTGAGGCTATATAGCTTCTAACAGAAATGCAATCCAGGTTTGAGACTCCCAAGCCCCAGCTCTTAACTGTCCTCAAGGATGATCTCTGTCAGTGGTGTCCAACCTTCTGGCTCCTCTGTACCACACTGGAAAAAGAAGAGTTGTCTTGGGCCACACATTAAATATACACAAACACTAACAAAAGTTGATGAGCAAGGAAAGAAAATGTCCGCGCCTAATTTTCATGATATATACCACCACGGATAAGCAAAAAAGTCCTCACATAATCTTCATGTGACCCACAGGCCATGGGTTGGACACTCCCGAGTCCAGGCAAACTAGTAGGAGAATGGAATGACTTCAATACAGAGTTGGGGCCAGTTGTCAAGAGGTCTGAATCCAGAAACAGGACTGGATTGTATAGCAATGAAATGACATAAAATGAAATGGTCAATTCCATGGCAGGGGGGAACCACAGAACACTCTTAAGCAGGGGGATGTGCCTTAAGAAGGCAAATATGGCAGTGGTTTAGAAGACAGCTAGGGCATCAGAGAGGCTGCTTCAAGGTGGCTATGGCAATGGCCCAAAGGAGAGAGCCTGGAATGGGAAGGGGAGAAGGTGTTCACTGCCTTCATGGGCCTGAGTTTGCCTCATCTGAAAGCTGAAGGAGTCCTAAATCCCACTGCAACAGTCACATCATCTGAGTGAACATCTCCCCAGTCCTGTGAGACCTCAGCCACCCCAGTGGGCCATTGACTTGTGTAGTACTATCACTGTACATTCACAAGGAACTAGAGGCTAAGCCTTCCAAAGAAGGATGATTTATAACCCTCCTAGTGAAAATGCTGATGTTTATAGATGCAAAGAGAGAAGACAAAAAGTAGAACCCCTTCTCGTCATTTCCACTCCCAGCTTCAGCCAAGTGATATTAATTGCTCGGAACGGATTAATATTTTGTTTATGGATTGAAGAGTGACAGAAGCTCCAAAACCTCTCCTTCATTTTTCCCATTGTCACCACTCTCTCCTTAGAATAAAGTTGGAACTCACCAGCCTCAGGTCACCAGTTCTCCAAGTGAGTTGGGGGTACTGTCCAAGTGGGGATAGAGTACCCCCGTTGGCTGACACTGCTTGGCTGGAGAGTTGCATGTCCCAAGCTCAGGGCTGGGACCTCAGAAACCTGTGTCAGATCCAAGATCTCCCCCTCCCCTTTTACTCCCAGAGATGTCTTTTCTCCCTTATGCTTGCCCTGTTCATTCATTCAACAGAATGTCTGAGCACCTACTAAATGTCACACATTGAACCAGGTCCCCAGGATAAAGTGGTGGGTCAAACAGACAAAGCTCGGACCTCACTAGAATGGACAATGTACAGGCACACATTTAGGTAAGTAAGTGAGTGAACTGGAATTGGGGATAGTGCTCTGAAGCAAACACAGATTATCCATGAGTATAAAGGGAGTCTACTTTAGAGGATCATGGAGGGCCACTAGGAGGAGGTGACCATTAAGCTAAGGCCTGAAGGGTAAGAAGGAACCAGGCTTGCAAAGAATCAGGGCAAAGAGCATTCCTGGAAGAGGAAACAGCACATGCACAAGCCCTGAAGTAGGACTTGGGAGGTCTGAGGAATTAAAAGAAGGCTGGACTGGCTGTAGCTTGGAGGCCAAAGGGAGAACAGCCTGGAGCCGGGGAAGCCATTAGGGGCCAGGTGTTGATACTGTACAGTCTTGGAGACCTCAGGAAAGAGTGCAGAGTTCATCCTAAGATGATAGGAAGCCACAAGAAAATTTTAACACATCCATCTGGCATCTGTCCCAGCTCACCCTCCACTTACATGAAACTGGAACATTCCTTAACGGTCTCTGGACCTCAATCTCCCCATCTGTATGTCTATATCTAACTATCCACTTGAATATTTTGTAACAATAGAGGCTCAATGGGGCAGGGAAGCAGAGGAAAGGGCTGGCCCAGAAGGGTGGCAGGCTGAAGACCTAGTGGCCAGCTTGGGGGAGGGGGACTGGGAAGGTAGCAGCAGCAATGACTTTCCCTCAGCTGTCCCAATCAGCCCTGGAAATCCTGTGCCTTCAATGTCCAGAAGGAGAAACTAAAGCCAAAGAAGGGAGGGCTTTGGGCTCTCTCTCAAGGTGAACCTGTGAACTACCCCAATTCTGCCCCCGCTTCAGGAGCACCTGTGAGTATCAGATGCCCCCAGGAGACAGGCAGCAGGAGACAGGCAGCAGCAGCTCTGGCCTCAAGAAGGTTCTGAATCCTTGGCAAGGTGGGGTAGCTCTGTCCCTGGAGTCTCAGGACCCCTAACCCCCCCTTGGCTCTTACTTCCACTTTGTGACAACAAAAGGAGAAATGCTTTTGCCTTTGGGCACAGTCACCCATGCCCATCTACCTGCAAATAACAGTTTATGTATGACTCTTGAGACCAGAGGGTAAGCTGGGTTTGGCAGCCCTCTCATGCCCAGAGAGACAAAGTGATTTGTCCGATAATGCACAGCCTCGACGCTCCCCCAAGCTTCCACTAGTTCTCTGATCCCCATTGGCCTCTCTCCAAGTCCCTACCCATGGGGCACCTCCCCGTCCATCTCCAAAGTCACCTGATCAGCAGGAAGTGGCAAGTAGAACAGAAGAGCAAGAGAGGCAGGCTTCCTTCTCCAGTCCATGGCAGACCTAGAACTGCAGGACCCCAAGGGTGCACACCTCCTCTCATATAATCTAATGCAGAGATTTACAGATAAAGCTTCCTGTGGCCTCCAGAACTCCTGAAAATACCAATCCAATGTTGCGAATTTTTTTTTTTTTTTTTGAGACAGAGCCTCAAGCTGTCGCCCTGGGTAGAGTGCTGTGGCATCACAGCTCACAGCAACCTCCAACTCCTGGGCTCAAGCGATTCTCCTGTCTCTGCCTCCCAAATAGCTGGGACTACAGGTGCCCGCCACAACACCTGGCTATTTTTTGGTTGCACCCATCATTGTTGTTTGGCAGGCCTGGGATGGATTCAAACCTGCCAGCTCAGGTGTATGTGGCTGTTGCCTTAGCCGCTTGAGTCACAGGCGCCAAGCCAGTGACTTTTTTTTAATAGGGAGATTTGTACTCTGCATCAGATTTTTTTCAGAGGAGTCCTTTTGTACCCTCAAACAAAGGTACAAACCACTGCACTTTCCTCTCATCTCACAGACACTAAAACGGAGACCCAGAAAAGATGACTGATCTAACTGTTGTGGATTAGAGCACAGGCATGGTACTCTGTCTGTCTGGGTTCAAGCCCCAGCCCCATCAGTTACTGGTTACACAGTCTTGGGCAGTATCTAACCTGTTCAAGCCACAGTTTCTTTATCTTAAAAAAAGGGGTGATAAAAGCACTTCCTGTGATGTTAGAAGAGCTAAATGAGTTAATATATGCAAGATTTTAGGGCAGTGCCTGGTCCATTAGTAAGTGTTTGGTAACATTATTTAATCAGGGCCACAGAAACAAGTGGCAGAGCCTGGTCATCTATATCTCTCTAGAGGCAAGTAGGAGGTTCTATATATCCCTGGGACTTCCAAGAAGAGTGTGTGATTATAGCCAGAACCTGTAGCTATTGACCAAGCCCTGCCCAGCATCTGTCCTGGAGGAAGGCTGGGTGTGAGGGGGAGACAGGGTTAAGAGAGGTGGGGAAGTCCCAGGCTTACTCCCAGCTGGGGGAGGGGGAGGAGGGGCTGGACATCAAAGGGTGGGCAGGCCAGCTTCCCACCCCCAAGGCCAGGTGGCCTTTGTCAGGACAGTATGGACATAGTCCTGACAATGGAGAATCATGTTCACTTTGCTGCCAACAGGAGTCACTACTGAGCCAAGACCCAGCCTGTTACATGACAAAGGGGGGACCCATAAAGGAGGTCAGGTTGCCCCTCATTAAAGCTGAGCCTTTGTCCTGCCCCCTCCCCTGCCTTTGAAGAGGGTGGATCAGAGAGGCCTGCCTGGGGGCAGGAGGTTCACAGGCTCAGGAGCCAAACAGTAGGCACCTTCCCAACTGCTCAGCCCCTCCCCCCCAGGGTCAAGAGTTCAGGGAGGGCCCTGTGAGGTAAGGTAGGGACCCCTTGCCCTAATCTAACCCAAAAGGACTATTTTTCAGCCCAAAGGAAATGACCCACTGGTCTCTTTAATGTACGATGGGAGACTCAGGCCTAAAAAGGAAAGCGACCTGCCCATGTTCACATAGTCAGTGGATCCTCCTTCTGGGGAGGAACTGCTGCCTTTGCTTGGGGTTGGATTAGGAGAAGTGCGTGAAGACCACCAGGGTCAGTGCTGCTAAAAGAGTTCTGGGCTACAAGTATGGGGACCTGCCTCCTAGGTCTGGCCTTGCAGGCGAACTGCAAGCCCCACTTCCTCATTTTGCCGGGGTCTCAGTTTCCCTATCTGTCCAGAAAGAGGGTTAGGTTGTGCTTCTTAAAGCTCCAAGAGGCTGAGACTTAGAAACGGGAAGGTGAGAGAACAGTACACGAATGGTCAGGAGGGTCACATCCCCGGGAACCCACGCAGGGCCAGAGCAGAGGTCAGACGAGGTCGACCTGGGCCGGGCACCAGCACCTGCGGTGGCAGGAGAACCGTCCAGAGGCGGAGGGCTAGAGAGGGGTCCTTACCACTGCCACCGCCACCTCCAGCCACCACGCTGCGCCGCATCCACTCGTAGGGCGTCCGCCTCTGCGCTCCAGGCGAGGACGGTGAGCCTGGGCCACCGAGGGGCTGTGCCAGGAGGCCCGGGCCAGGCCCAGGGGGCGCGGGCACCGGGCTAAAGTCCGGAGGGGGCCCGAACGCCAGCGAAGCTGGGTTGGCGGCAGGGGCTGCGGGTCCCGGGCCATAGGCGGTTGCCCAGTCGTCCTTGGGCGCAGGGAAGGGCGTGCCCCAGGCCGTGGGGGGCGCGGGAGCCGGCTCCACATGAGAGTAGCCGGTGAAGTCGGGGTACTGCGGGGCCGCGGGGGGTGGGGCCGGGGGGCCGTAGGCTTGAGGGCCCAGGCCGAGACTCGCGGGCCTGGCTGGGCCGGGGTACACGGGAGAATCCTTGTCCAGCACATAGCCCACATACATGGTGGCCGCGGGGCTCCCCGCGCATGCTGGGCCCTGGAGCAGCCGCTGCCGGCCGCCCCGACGACGCGCGACTGCTCACCTGAACCCGCCGCCCGGCCGCCGAGCCTGCCCCACCCAGGCCTTTTATAGCTAGCAGCCGCCCGCCGCCCCAGCCGAGGCGGGTTTGCATTTCAAAGCGGGGCGAAGCCTCCGGGCCAAGAATCAAAGGGGGAAACCCGTCGGGGGCGGGGGGTTCAAAAGGAAACAAATTGCTGCCCCGAGCGGGAAGTGCACAGGCCGGGACCTGGAGGGGGTGGGAGCGCGTCCCGGACCAGGGTCCTGGCAACGCCACGTGTGGGAATCGCTTGAGAGCGGGCGGGCGACCTTGCGGCCCAAACACCTCGTCCTTCCCGTGGCGGTGTGAACTGTTCCACGACCTCACTTTGCAGGTGGAGAAACGGTCTCACAACCAAAGCGACCCCAGGTGCGGGTCACACAGCCACACCTGGGGTTTGTGGCGCACTCTGCAGTGACCAACTTGAGGTGAGGGGGGGCAACACAGACTTCAAACAGGGTTCCCATCTGTAAGGTAGTGGGTCCTTAATCTTTTGAGGAGCAGGGGTCACGACCCCTCTAGTCATGAAAGCGGTGGATGTTTCCCCCTGAGGAAATGCACATATGCACATACATGAGTCCGCATGCAATTGGGCGGGGCTCGACTGAGGTGGCTCTCTAGAGAAAGCTACCCAAAGGCACGCTGTAGGGAAGTCTTCTGGGAACATTACAGAAAACCTTCCCCAAATGCTCTTGGAGACACTCTTTGCCCCCGCTTTTAATTGAGAGGTTCCAACATAACAAAAGTAGAATTGTATAATGAACCCCTATAAGTACATATTCCCATCACCCAGCTTCAACCATTACCGGGATTTTGTCACATTTACTTCATCTTCTCTTTCTTGTAAAGCACTTTAAAACAAATTGCAGACATCATGTCATTTTACCCCTGCATACTTCAGCATGCATCTCTAAAACACATGGCCATTTTCTTACGTAATATGTCATTATCACATCTAACAAGTTAATCGAAATTCCTTGGTTTTAGGTAATACGCACAGTTTATATACAAGTACTCCAGTCAATTTTTAGCAATTGGTTTGTGTGAATCAGGATCCTAAAGCACTGGTCCATTTATTGTAGCAGAGGACCCCTTGGTATTTTAAATGCATCATATGTGCCACCCCCATTAAGGACTGGCAGACATTTTACAGTGATGGGGGTGGGGTCAGGGAACAGTTGAGGGGAGCAAAGCTGAGGGATTGTGGAAGGTTTCATGAAGGACAGGGCTCTGGGTCAGGAAGCCTGGGGGTTCCTTTCCCATAGGTGCTTTGTACCAAAGGACTATGCAGAAGCCCTCCCTGGAATTTGATCTTTCTGACATTTTCTGTCCCCCTCTATGTGCAGAGATGTGCAGCCCCCCCCAAAGAAAGGCAGAATCAGGGTCTTATCTGTCTCTTTCTTGGGTCCCCATACTTATTGGGGCTGGTCAGCATCATCTCAGAGTTAGGGAGATGTTTCAGGATCAGAATGTACTTTGCAGGGCCCATTGCAAAATGAATATAAAAGTCCCTTATTAAAAAACAATGAAGAATTTCAAGATGGTGACAGAGCATTCAACCAAGCATGGGGCCCTTCTGAACACTGGGTGACCTGTCCATGAAGCTGCTCCTGGTCAGAATTTTGTTCTTCTGGGGTTCTGATGGATAATGTAACAGAGCTGGAGAATCACTAAGCCCAGAGCTCACCTTCCTGCTCAGGGGAACTCTGTCCATTATACCAACAGAAGCATTGAGGCCCAGAAGGGAAAGGTGGTCATGCCCAATGTATGTAGCAAAATGAAGGCTGCTAGGGGGAGGGGGAAAGGGATGCCTGGATTGTTGCTGACAGGGATGAGCACTTGGCTTCCTTGGAGGAGCACACAGCTGTGCTGGGTGTCAGTCACTTGGAAGAAAACCTGACATGGATGAGCAAGCAGATGTCTGCTCAGCACAGAGGACTCCCCTTTCCCAAGTCAGGAAGTGGACATGGAGGTGAAGTCTTTCTCAGAAGTCATCTGGAGTTCTGGGCTCTGCTCAGGACCCAACCTTTCAAGGGGCCAGTGAGAAATTGAGAACACATAGGAGGGAGAAAAAACCGAGATGACTCAACTCCACTCTGAACTGAAGTAACTGGGATTGCTCAGACTGGAAAAGACCTGGGGTGTGGTCTGAGTTTGATATGGGGACAGGACTGGGCTGGGACCTAAGAGAGAAAGTGGGCAGGTATTTCAACCCACTCATGTATAATAAAGTGCTCTCTGAAGGACCATCCATCATGAAATGGGCTCTTATGAGAGAGAGTGAGCTCACCATCACAGGAGGTGTGTAAGTGACTGCTGGAGGTTAGTCTCCAGTTAAGAAAGCTATGAAAAGGATGCCTACTCTGAGAGGAGGTTGGTGCTCTCTAAGTGCCCTCTAATTCCAAGAGTATGCTAAATCAGACCTAGATGGTAGGCTTAAAGGTTGAGAATAGGTATAAAAATTCATTTGGTTATATATTAATTCATTTGACAAATACATTCCTTTTTTTAAATTTCCTTGCTTATTTTTTATTTTTATTTCTTTGCCTTTTTTGTTGTTGTTGAGACAGAGTCCCACCCTATGGGGGACCCCTGAGCAGCGTGCAATGGCATCATAGCTCACTGCAACCTCAGACTTGGGCTGTGGGCATCCCACTGCCTCAGCTTCCAGAAGCCGCTGGGGTTACAGGTGCTCACCGTGGCACCCGGCTGGGTTTTTCCATTTTTTTAGGAGTTGGGGAGGTCTCACTCTCTCTCAGGCAAGTCCCAAACTCCTGAGCTCTCCCTCCTCAGCCTCCCACAGTGTTGGGCTCAGCGGGCGTGAGCCACTACGACTGCTGAGAAATACATTCTTAAGATACCTTCTGTGTTGACACTGTGTCAAGTATGGGATGAAGTCTTGCCCTTGTGGTGTTTGCACTTAGGGGGTGAGGGGTTTGACAAATTTGAACCAAATAATCACAAATGAAGGTAAAATGCAAGGGCCAGGAATAAGAAGATTTGGCCCAGAGGGAGGAGCAGAAAAGTTTCAGGAGGAAGTGACAGGGACATGTGAGTCAAGGCACAGGGAGTGGGGAAGGGCATTGGGGGCCAAAGGTCAGTATGATCAGAGGCCCTAAGGCCAGAGGGGACATGCTCCCCTAGTGCTGAAAGACCAGTCTGGAGGGGAAAGGGCAGGGGGTGAGTCTGGTGAGGGACAGGGCCAGGTCTGGTGGGCCAGGTCCCATGAGGGCTGTGGGAAGTTATTATTTAGGGTCTAAGGTTGTGGAGCGGGGTGGTGGAAAGACAGCTGTAGCTGGTGTGCACTCCATGAACCTGAGGAGAGGCAGGGAGCCTGACAGCAGCAAGGAAGCTGGGTAGGGGTCCAAGAAATATGGAGATGATGGCCAAGACTTAGGTGATGGCTGAGAGGTGGTAGCCAAAGCAACAGGGGACTTTCTGAGCAGAGGACTATTTTCCTGATCCGACAAAAGGCAAAGCCAGGGACCCTGAGGAGCCACCCCCACTGCTCTGTGGTCCCCTCAGTATTGTGCTCTCCCAGAGTAGATGTAGCTCCCACTCTACTGACACATCCGGGAGTGGCGTCCACCATTCCTGTGGGCTCCCCCCATCCCAGGCTTACTGACTTCTAGCTCAGTGCCCTCTCACTTCATCTCTCTGAGCTTGCAGGGTTTGTGCTGGAATAACAATAACAATAATAGCATGGCTATTTTATGGAGCATTTACTCAGTGCCTGGTGTCATGCCAAGCCCTTGGCATGTGTTACCTCAGTTCATCCTCACAACAGCACAAAATGAGGTACAGTTGATGGTTACCCTCATTTTGCAGAAAGAGAAGCTGGAGCTCTGAGAGGTGGTCACACAGAAGTCAGTGGCCTATCTGGAAGTTTTTCTTCCCTCTCCAACTGAGCCTGCCTGTGAGGATGGAGGATCATGAGCCTCTCCGTCCCCCAACTTATTAGCTAGGATTTTGCTTAAGCAAATAGCTGGTTTCTCTTCCTCCTCAGGCTTTTTCATGCAAAAGAGCCTCTTTTCTCCCCTTGCCTTTACCCCTAGATGGACCACCCACCAGAGTCCTAAGCCAACTCTGATGTGGCATCCTCAGAGTGCCCCCGCCTGAAACCTTTTTTAAAAATCCCAGGCTGGGAGTCTGAAATTGCAGGTCCTCTCCCACCTTTGCCTCTGACTTGCCATGTAACCTTGAGCCCTAAGGCTTCAGTCTCCCCATGTGCCCACTGGGGGCTGGTTGCCTCAGACACTAGTCCAGATGTGGTGCTGTGTGTGGAGAGCCCCTGTCCACTCTGTCCTGTGGGCAGCCTCTTCCTCTCTGACAGCCTCTTATCACTGGGAGTGGTTGTTTATTGGACCCCTCCTTCCTCTGGTTCCCAGGTGGGCCCCTCTTCCTTCTGGAAGCCCTCCCTCCAGGCTGCTCTCACACACCCAGCCAGGGCCTCCCTGGGGTGGGGCATAGAGCTGATGGCCTCATAAAGATCTTAGTGATAACTTGGTTTTTAAATCAGCTTTATGGCCCTGGAAGAGAAAAGGTTCTGGGCTCAGCTTTCTGTTGGAAATAGTTTGCTTAACAGAAGCCGGGGACCTGGATAGGCACCAGGGTCAAGCTTTAGGCCTCCTAGACCCCCACCACTAGCTTAAAGTTCTCTGTAGACTCTAGTACAAGGGCTTTGGATTCCCAGGTCAGTCCTAGCCAAACCTCAACCTCACTCTGTGATCTTGGGCAAGTTAACTGCCCTCCCTGAGTCTCTGCTTCCACCTCAGAAGGGAGGCGGGTAATTTCTGCCTACCTCTAGGCAGGAGGCAGGTGAGGCTCACAAATGGGTCCTGGGGGCTCTTGTGAGGCATCTGTGCCTTCCAAACCTCTCTCTTCCCGGCATCTTTCGGTTCTCAGCCTGTGGGTCCCGAGCCCTTTGTAACAATGAAAATACATCGCGGCATTAGGAAGGTTGAGAACCACCTCTAGGCTAG